CCAATGTGATTATATATTGAAATATGCCCTTTAGGATATGAGGAAAAGAGGTTTAATTGACTCACAGTTCTTCAGGCTTAACAGGAAACATGACTGAGAGGCCTCAGAAAACTTCCAATCATGGCAGAAGGTCAAGGGGAAGCAAGCACCTTCTTCTAATCGTAGCCGGAGAGAGAATAAGAGAGAAGGGAGAAGTGCCACATACTTGGGAACCATCAGATCTCATGGGAACTTATTCACTATCGTAAGAACAGCAAGGGGAAATCTGCCCCCATGATTTAATCACCTCCCACCAGGCCCCTCCTCCAACACAGGGGAATTACAATTTGAAATGAAATTAGAGTAGGGACACAGAGCTAAACCATATCAACCATGATACTGTGATTGAAGTAGACGCAGAAATAGAAAGAAAACTAAGAAGCCATATTCTTGTTGTGGATAACAAGAATATGGGAGCAGTGGACTTGGCTGATCAGATGCTCACTTATTATCCAACTGAACTCAAAGGTTTGGTATAAGGAATTCTTTCACTGCCTTCCAAACATTACAGTGCTGAACTCCTCCATCCTGTTCAAGAAGGACAATCCTGAGCACACAATTAGTCATGTAAACTTCAGACTGACATTCATTGAAAGAATGCTGGAAAAACATCACAGACCATGTCTTTGAGGTTGTCCGTGCTCTGATGACGTCACTCCTTTTTGCCTGTCTGGAAGAAATTTCCCCAAGAGCATACCACCAACATTAGGGAGGTGGCATCCAACTGGTCACTGCAAAGTTTGCTACTTATACAATGACAAGGATAGCAAGAAGATCTGGAGATAAATGAAATATTTTTATGCAGAATATGATGTTCTGCTTTGTGCTATTCTGTACTTTGAAGTTTACTAAACGAAAATAAAATTATTAAATACTGATCATTATATACATTTCTGTTCCGACAAGTTCTGTTTAGAAATAACTCCAAGAACAGTTTTTATATTTTATTTTCACACTGAAAATCAGATTTACTTCAGCCTCAAATAGTGTGTTTATGTAAAATTAAATGAATTCTGGCAGCAAGCTGCACTTTTTTTCCTAAATGGGAAAAGAGCTAATTTTATTCTGTCTTCCTCATGATGGAACCAGGACCATAGCGATTCTCTCTTACAAGGCCTCAAGTTTTTCTCCTTGCAAAACTATGACGATAAATGAAAAAACTATCCTCATCCTGAAATGGACTGTTTTTATCTTCACAGGTTTTGACTTTCATTCCAAAAGCCTCCTCTGTAATTTGTCCCTCAGTAGCCAGCTGGAAATTTTCCTGTCTATGTAAATGGCTTCCAAAAGCCAAAGCAACCCCTCTCCTGGTTCCTTGACCCCACCTTTCCTCATGCTTTTCAATTGAGAGGCTTTATCTCCACCCACTGGATACACCCTGAGAATCATTATTTCAGCCCCACCCCTGAGAAATTGTATCTGACAACTTGATTCCTAGCGCCCACTGTCTTAATAATTGTTCTTATTTCCTATACCTACCACATTTTGCCTAAACCTTGATCTCTAAACACTTAACTGCTTGCACCTTATATAATCCATCGGAACCTTCTGAAACATTTAACTCTCTTCTAAGTTTTGCCACCTCCTAATGCAGTCTTTATGGTACCCTCAAGCCTCTGATGTATATACTCCCTATCTATAAAACCACTATCCCCCATTTCTCACTCCATGTCACACACACTTTGGGAGAAATATGCAGAATAGTACTGAATGGGCCTTCTAAAACCTAGTTCTAACTTTTCCAGCTGCCATTAATCTTTAGATCCATTGCTGACTATCTGACATGCTACCAAGTCTTCTATCACCTTTCCCAAGCTTCCAGACCAACCCAGTTTTCCCAGTGCAAAAAACAAACCAACACTGAACAACCAGAGCCTACCTCACAGTGGGCTCCCCACATCTCTCCTTCCTTAACCTTCAAAATATGCCTCTCTCTACATTTATCCACTCTACTCTCTCTCATATGTCAGAGAAAATGGTTTTTCATCTGTGCTCTCAACCTTATTTCATATCTTTCTACATGCCTCTAATTAGCCACTCCCAACTATATATCGAAATTTTCTTCTTCTCTTCAGTTTTAAGACATGCTCAGTCTATTCTAGATCTTTCTGTAGCCTCAGTTTCTTCCATTCTTCTTCTCTCTGATTATCAAACATTTAAAAAAAATTCTGTGATCCTATCTTTTACCACCATTTTGACCACTCTTTGACCTTATTCCTACTCCTCTTTGACAAAGGGCATTTTCAAACTGCAATAAAGACACCTCATCTTGAAACATAATGCCTTTTTCTTAGGATTAATTCTTCTCAAATATTCATGGCAAGCAATGAAACCTACAATTACCTCTCCTTATTGGAACCTTCACTTTGCTTCTTTTCCTTGACTGAACTCAGCAGTTTCCTCTATTAATTGTATCATGATCCGTGGAAGATTACTTAAATCCTCTGAGTCTTAACTTACTCACTGGCAAAACTAGGGTAATAAAAATTCCTTCCTTAATGAGTTGCTATGAAGAACACATTCCATATTACGTATTAGCCACCACATATCAGGATATAATTATGAGCTTGGCACTGTGATACACAAATACACACAAACCACACAAACATGCCACACAGACCACACCTCACAGACATGCATCCATAAGAGATTATATGTACAGTTGACCCTTGAATAAAATGGGTTTGAACTGCACAGGTTCACTTATATATAGATTTTCTTCTACCTCTGCCATTCCTGAGACAGTAAGATTAATCTTTCCTCTTTCTTATTCTCCTTAGTCTACTCAAGATGAAGACAATGAAGAAGAAAATCTTTATGATAATCCATTTCCACTTAACTAATGTAAATATGTTTTATCTTTCTTACAATTTTCTTAATAACATTTTCTTTTTTCTAGCTTACTTTATTGTCAGAATACAGTATATAATACATGTAACATATGAAATATGTGTTAATCAACTGTTTATGTTATTAATAAGGTCAACAATAGGCTATTAGTAGTTAAGTTATTGAGAAATCAAAAGTTGTATGTTAACTTTTCAACTGTTGGGGGGTCAGCACCCCTGACTCCCAAGTTGTTCAAGAATCAACTGTATAATATGTGTGTGTGTCTGGAAATCTAATTTAACACTCAAAACCACCTAGGAAGTAAATATTATTTCTGTTGTAAAGATCACTAAGTATCAGATGTTAATCTAAATATGTACTAAAAAACACAGAGTCAACATTTTTAGAAGAAAGATTCTAAATGAGATCTACTCAATGCCCATGCTCTTAACCACTAGATTATATTGCCTTCCAAACTAATATAGGAATCAAGGTATTAGGGGATTATGCAATATCATTTACTATTCACTTAATATACTTTGTAGATGCTATGTTTTAGAATGTACTAAAATAAACCTCCCAAGCATAAACTAGTGAGACAGTCTACTACCTTCCCCAGGTCTTCTTATATATGTCCTTAAGATCAATAAGTAAACTGCAGCCATTTGGACAATTGTGTGTGGACAATACAGTTTACAATCTAATGTCAGCAACTCAGAGCATTAACTCTTGGTTTGTCAATAACAATAACAATCACAATAACATTATTAAATGCACTATGCTTTAGAGTAGACTTTTATGTATATGGTTCCAATTATGTGAACTCCATTGTGGCTAACAACAGGCCCTATTGGACTGGGATAAAACTCAAGTCTCTGGGGTGGTCTCTCTGCTGTTTGCCAATTATTCTAGTTCTCCATCTGACCTTCAGGGGGCAAGGTAAGACTGTGTATTAGTCTGTTTTCAAGCTACTGATAAAGACATACCCAAGACTGGATAATTTATAAAGAAAAAGAGGTTCCACGTGGCTGGAGAGGCCTCACAATCATGGCGGAAAGTGAATAGCATATCTTACATGGCAGCAGGCAAGAGAGAATGAGAGCCTAGTGCAAGGGGAAACCCCTTATAAAACCATTATATCTTGTGAGACTTATTCACTATCATGAGAACAGTATGGGGGAAAACACCTCCATGATTCAATTATCTCCCATGAGTCCCCCAACAACATATGGGAATTAGAGGAGCTACAATTCAAGATGGGATTTGGATGGGGACAGAGCTAAACCATATCAGACTGATTGCACTCACTCCATACATAACAAAGCACGTAACGGCCGTAAGACCACGAGGAGAAGTGACAGTAGCATTGCTCTGGGCTGAAAGTTTTCATTGCTAACATGAGAATTCCTGAGAACTCATCTTCACTTCACCTTGACTACAGTATTTCAAATAGTGATCACTCTGTTCACTTGGCATCCACAGTGAAGGCAATGCAGCACGATCAGCTGACCACTATACAGTACATGTGTAGCTTGAGTAAGAAACAAAGTTTTAATTTACAGATACGTTGGGGTTATATGTTATCACAACATAACCAAGCCTTCTTCAGGCTCACAGCATGTAATGACTTATCCAAGATTATACAGGTAGAACATGTCAAAAGTAGTATGTTAATGCTCTTCCCCACATCTCATAACTGCTAATGTCACCGTTCCTTCTATTAGGTCTCAGTTTGCTTCTTTGGTTCATTGCCTCAAAAATAAACAATATTTCCCCAGGTGTCAAGATATAAACATAGGTGCGATTAGTCTAATCTGGGTTTAATCGAGTCCAGTTTTATAAAATAGAAGAAATTTCCACTTATTTTATAACCAAGGCAAGAAGCTCATACTTAATCTCTTCTAGTATATGAAGTTCAGAATTCTTAACAGTCCCACCTTTAGGGCAGAGAGAAAATACTTACTTCAATTAACCAAATCACTCGTCAGATAAGAAGTAGCAGTTAAGTAACAAGGACTGTAACACAACCGCCCAGGGTGTGACATTGTGCTTTGAGATCCTCTGGATGACCTCATAGGAAAGGTGGAGAACAAAGCCTTGCACATATATAAACATGACCCCTTTCCCAGGACATGGTCAATGCAGCTGTAGTGACAATCTCAGAGCAGCCTCTGCACCACAGCCATTTCCAGCATGAAGATCATTGGTGGTCTCCTTCTGCTCTGTACAGTGATCCATTTCTACAGCAGCTCAGGTAAGTTAAGGTCAGACAATGCCCTATATAGCCATTAAGTTTGTTTTCACAAATAATCCCTCCTGGGATGTGAGCATCTCAGAAACATCGGGTTGTAAGAATTTAAAGTGTAATCGTTTGTAATAGAATTTTATATTCCGTCTGTTATTTTGAGAGACTTGAATCTAATGTCTTCATTTTCAAGGATTCTTATTTGCATCCATAGATCAAAAAAATGATCTAATTTATCCATAAGTCTTCCATTTCATATGTTCATATGGACACTGGAAGTTGTGAGTGTTATTAGATATACTATTCCTTAGTGCCAAGATACAGAAAAACTTGGATGTCTTCCTAAATCAGTTTGTAGGGATTAAAATAAAACACAATTCTCAAAAAGCCAAGGGTCAACAATTAGGCTTTTATGTTGAGAAAAACTGATTAAAGTGTTTCCAACTCCTAAAGAAATTCCAATGCTCTTTATATCAATTAGGAAGGAAAGGATATCAAAGGTGATCCTTCAGGCTCTTAAGAGTGATGATTTTCATGCTTCTTATTGCTACGTGACTTTCGCCAGTATCAAAAACACTATAAGGTTCAGAAAACATTCCGTGATCAATAAATAGAAGAAATTTTGATAATTCTCTTGCCTAAATCAAGGGTTAATCTAACCCATTGGTCATTCAACTTCCTCAGCAAACAGCTATGATTTTGCATAAGGATGGAGAGTGTGCTGAAATTCATTGCCAGAGAAAATGTAATTATATAGAATGAAACATATTAATTAATGAGATGTAAGATTTGCTTTATTTTTAACATTTTCATCTGTATCTCTTTTTCAGAAGCTGCTAGTTTGCCTTTAACAACAGTGAGTATGTTGAATAACAATTTAATGCCAATACCTATTGACTGTCATTTAGCCAACATATATGCTGGATAAATTCAGTACATTTAGGAGGATTTGAGAGGGAAGCAAACACATGTGGAGAAATGGTATCTGCTCTCCAGAAGGCAGTTGAAGAAATATGACATACAGTATCCATAAACAACCATATTTTTAAACTGATTTTTAAACATTCCAGAGTTAAAGGAGGGAGAGGTGCATTCCAGCTGAGAGGTTGGTGATGTTTTCCTAAAAGGTATAACATGTAAGAGGCGGGGTAAAAATACCCTGATAAATTGCACAGGCTCTGGTTTCAAATACTAGCTCTAATACTTACCAGCTTTTACCTTGAACAAGTTATCTGTATTTCTAAGCTTTAATTTCTCCATTTATAAAGAGAGGTAATAGTAGAACTTACTGTATTTAGTTGTTTTGAAGAATAAACAACAAAATTAATGTAAGATTTAAGTTTAATGTCTAGCACAGAAATGCCCAGCAATTGTTAACTGAGTATAGTAGAAAAAAATAAAATACTGGTAGTACTAGTATTTGTCGTAGTGATAATACTAGTACTTACAGAAGTGATCAAGCAACATCTGAATATCTGAGTTGGGACTTCCAGCCCTTGTAGTATATCTTAGAGTGGCCAAGGTATCCTAGCTTGGGGTCTGGGAGAAAAACAGGACATTTGCTTGTGTATGACACAGGTGGACTGCAGCATTTACAAGAAGTATCCAGTGGTGGCCATCCCCTGCCCCATCACATACCTGCCAGTTTGTGGTTCTGACTACATCACCTACGGGAATGTATGTCACTTGTGTACTGAGAGCTTGTGAGTACCTCATAAGAAGAAAAAGAGATCTGAACCCGTGCTCTCTACTATGAATCCTTCTTCTTTCCAGGATCCAGCTTAAATCTCTATAAGCTATAATTTATAATTATTCCCACTCAGAACAGCAAGTGGGGACAGAAAACTGACTGTTGCAAATTCAGACAGGGTAGCGTTGCCTGTTCTGCCAGCTTATACTGGTCCCATCCCATCACAGAACCTCCAATTCCTGTCTGTCAATTGTGGGAATCCAGTAAGCCTGTGAATTCTTAAACTGCTGTCCCAGAGCACTTCTATAGTGACAAGTCAGGAATCACCATTAGGGTTAAAGGGACCATATAGGGTAGTTTATGACATGAAGTTTAGCTTTGACTATATTAAGTAGCGGAGTGCCATGTTCTTCATGTTTGAAGAAAGGGCTCTGAACTCCCTACCCCCCAAAAATAATTGAAAACCACTATACTACCTGACTTCTAAGATACTTAACAGTCTCAGTGCAGCTTGATTCTTAGACACAGTGTGTCTAGAGGTTTTTTATCTTCAAATTCCTAGAAGCTCTAAGTATCTGTAGCTTTAAGGGGGAATAAGGCTACAAAATAAAGGCTACAAAAATGATTGTGTTTCCTTTATCTAAAATAAGGGATACAAGCTGTCAGTATTTGGACCAGAATACCATAGACATGTTTTGTTTAGGTATTTTCTTTGGCCCACATAATGTTTTTGCAGAAATGTAGCTAGGCAGATGTCACTTCTTTGGTATAAGACATGCAAATTGCATTTAACTTTCTCATACCAAGTCCACTGTGATCATTGTTAACTCTTTTAGGACACTGGATTTTGGATACTTAGATCTTGTGTTTCATCTTTGTGATTACCTTAACAAGTTAGAATATCAAACCCTGAGCCCAAAACGACATGTCTATGTATTTATTCCTATTTGAGAGGTTTTATTTCACAAAAGGGAAAATTCTGTCACATAGGTAGAGGGGGAAACTAGCCCTTGACCAGGAAACTAGCTGTTTTCAAGGGACACTGAAGGAAAATATGGTGAAAATCCTCACTAATGCAGGATCCGGCTTCATCAAAGGCCTTGCTGACCAGGAAAAGCTGAGAGACAGGCCCCTCAATTTTCTTTGTCAGAGTACTCCTTGTTGTTTTAAGACACTGGGTGGTCAGTGGGTCTGGAATCAAGGAGGCAGGAAAGGGGTGGAATTATCACTGAAATAAAGAAATTCTGCTTCTATCAGAACGTGCTTTGGCAATAAAATTCATTTCTGAGACTCAGTTTCCTTATCTGTAAAATGAAGCTCTGCCTCATAATCTCTGTAGTTCCTTTCATCTCTAATATTACATAAAATTTCATCTTGTGTTAATGACTCTTGTGAACTCTGTCTTCCCTTAGGAAAAGTAATGGAAAAGTTCAGTTTCTTCATGAAGGAAATTGCTAAATTCTCCATGGACATGGATAGAAAAGAATGATATCATCATCATCATCTTCCTCATCTCCAGGCTCTGATTGACTTTCTTTCAGTTTTACTGATGTTCTGCGTCAGGGACAGAGCCAGATTCAGAGTCATCTTGATTGAATGGAGAAAGTTTCTGTGATACCCCTACAAATGCATGCCTTACTGACAGACTGGCTTCTTTTTTTTTTTATTTAACACATCAATAAAATAACTAATTTCCCAGAAAGTTTATCTTTACTTCTGTTTGTGTTTTTTTCTTAGATCAGGTTATAAAATATCACAATTATAAAGGAAAATTGAAAAACGTACAAGTCTTGTTTAGTAAAAACTTTTATTCAAAGAATCCCAATCAGCTTCCAAGAAACATATGCACATGAGCACGCATGTGCGTGTGCGCGCATGTGAGCACACACACGCGCGCGCACACACACACAGAAAATACATAGACATAAACCCACAGAAACACCAATGAACACCACACCTTCTCCTGGAGTCTTTATCCACTGGAGACAAGTCTATATACCATACTGTTGCTTTACATTGATCTCTTTTTTAAAGATCCTTAAAAGAGAACCTCTGTAGTTCCAAGAAGTCATTTCTAGAAGGGAAGTTTTTCTTCCTATTTCTTTCCAGAAACATACCACAATTTCTCATAGGCCAGCTCCTCTAGAGCACTGAGGGAAAAGCCACTGCTTCAAGAGGAAGCATGCCCATTGTTGTAGAGATCTGAGTGTTGGGATGTTCTACTTGTCTAGAGTTGAAAACTACATTCATGAGGCTAAGAACCATCAGGGCCAGTGAGACTATATAACAAAAAAGTTCACCCTTTTTGCCAATTAACAGACTTTTCATTATTTAAAAATGAATATTCTGTCTCCATTGAAAGTTATTTTCTCCATGATAAAAATCTCTGGTTAATTCAACTATTGTTTCCTAAGCGTTATATCTTTTATAGTATTTCTATCCTGGACCATATTCCTTGGATCTGTCACAATTAGGCATTGCCCATCTTAAAATATGTAGCTATGCTGTCCAAAAATAGACTAATCACAATTTTTTTCTCCGACAGATACAGAGAAAGTAAAACTATCACCTCTTTCCTAAACCTTTTTGTCTATCAATGCAGCCTAACGTGCCAAGGGTCATGATTATAATAAGAAACATCATTAGAATAAAATCTGATATCTTTGCAAATACCAGGCTTGCTGCATAAGAATAATGAGAAATGAACTAAAATAAAGATGGCAGGATTCCACCCTACAAATTATCATTCAGGAACTGAAGAAAGCCCTAAACGATCTAATTTTTGAATTGTTATATATTCAGAATTAGAAAATTCAGAGATAGACGTGTGACCCAGCTCAGTAAAAGAGGGTCCCAGCAGAAAGCAACATCACGACTGCATGAGATTAACAGGAAATATCTCTTAGAGAAGGTGAAATTTGATTTGAGCCCAGTGTGGCAGAACCGTGGTTATTCACCAGAGTCCTTCCTGACAAGTGAGAACAGAACCCAACCTCCACTTCTCTTACTAATTAGCTCATAACAACTCACACTCTCCCAGCAGCCTCTGTGTAGATTCATGTAAATAAGGTCTATTTGCACGAGAGTTTAGCCAGAACATTCACTCAACACAGTAATCACAGCAAAAAAAAAAAAAAAAAAAAAAAAAAAAAAAAAAAAAAAAAAAAAAAAAAAAAAAAAAAAAAAAAAAAAAAAAAAAAAAAAAAAATCTTCTCCAAAAGGTTGGTCACATTTTGCTTGTCTCTTCATTCTTGTATTTTGGTTTTTCTCTGGAAAGCGTCTGGTTATTTATGAGCACTCCCTGTCTAATATCCATAAAGTCTAGGACCATCCTTAGGGGAAAAAATGGTGACTGATAAATCACGACACAAATCTGTCTGATGGAAAATGGAAAACAGTTCTTACATTGACTACAAATTTAAAAAACTCTTTGTCTGCAAATAATTTTAAAGAGCAAATGTTGGTCCTTATCTTTTTCACTGTTTTCTTCTTTTCTAGATATTCTTAGTGACACTAAACATAAGTTTAGTTCGAGTCTGTATATTATTTATCAAGTTTTGTAAAAGTTGTTTTGAAGCTATTGTATTCATTTAAATTTTTAAATCTTGTTTTCAAACAGAATTTTATCATTTATATAACATTTTCATGAGGATTTCTTAATTTTATTCTCTGAGATAGGATGGACTGATGCTATTGTCTTCTGTTTGTTTGTTTCTTTGTTTTAGAAAACGAGGGAAATTAAGCTAGAGAGCATTGGTGTGGATCCTAGAAGTCAATGCCATATATTCTAAATCCAAGTCTAAATCCAACCCTCTTTTCACTATTCCACCCTGATTTTCAATATCAATATGATATCATTTACTTAAAATCTAGAAAAAATAAGCTATAACTAAAATATATTTACATTATGTCTAACATATGACCTGTATGAGCAAAAATCAGTTTTGAGAAAGAATCAATGAAGTTGAGATCTTCCCAAATCATTACTTAGCCACAAAGAAAAGCCACAAAAAACAGTTGATGATAAAAGACTGATTTTTTGTCATAAATTAATTATTAAGTAGGAAGCATTAATTATGTTTCCTACTGAATAAATAATTGCAGGAAATAGTTTGCAGTGATCAACTTGTGTGAGTAAAAATAAAGATATTTTATTTCCTCATAATGATCTTATACTACTCAAAAGCCCTAGTAATTTTTTTGTCTAACTTTCAAATAATCTAAGATAACAATGGCTAACACTTATTTTACACTAGAGCTTGTGGAACATGTTTTATGTTTATTTCATTTATTCCTCTCAATTAAACTATGAGAAATTTCCTGTTACCCACTGAGATTTGGCAAGGGTAAAACATTTATAGAAAACCACAAAGTTAGTTAGCATTTTTTGCCTTGATGATTTGACTTTATAGACCATGTGTTTAATCACTGTAGTCTACAGCCTGTGTATATGAAGACTCTCTTTCTTCTTGCAGATACACTGTGATAGATATGTTGATCATGACACAAGTAAACTCTTATGCTGGGAGCTTATCTTTACCCCTGCGTGTGGTGCACATAGAAAGACTTATGTCAATCCCTGCCAACTGTACATGAAGATCAGGTGAAGATATCAATGGAACCATGGTATAGAATATGCACAAAATATACATCTTTACTTTAATAATTCCTCATTGTCAGGAATGGAAGAGAGCCAGTCAAAGGCCTCATTTTATGGATAGAGACACTGAGCTCCAAAAGCTGAAAATGCTTCATTGCTTATGTGGAAGACCAAGACAAGAACCCAGGTCTGCTTATTCCCAATCAATCAATCCAGGAACCAAGTACTGTTTCCAGAGTTTTATCCACTTTATCTTAGGACCCCTGGAAATCAAATTCCTTCTACTATGATATGACCTAGTACACATATCTATAAAGCACTTTATAGTTTACAAAATACTTTCATAGCCCAGTTGAAGGACTGTAAGTGGCAGATGGGTCTACTGGCTCAGGATCTAAATAAGTTTGCTCTGCAAACTTACGTAAGAAAGCTAAGGAAACATCCAGCTTCATAGAAACCTGGGCAGGCTTAGTTCTGCACTCTATATGACATCCAAAGCAGACACTAGACTGTTGATGCTAAGGAAACATCCAGCTTCATTAGAAATCTGGACAGGCTTAGTTCTGCAATCTATATAACATCCAAAGCAGACATTAGGCTGTTGATAATGCTGACCCTTTTCTTCCAGAATTTATCAAAACTCATGACCTTAAAAATATCCCCAATCTTTCTGAAATGAAAGCCTAGATTTGTTATATAATGAATCCATTTCCAGAATCCTTTTAATATTTATAAATGACATTTTAAAATAGTTATTGCTTTTCAAATTTTAAAACCCACCTATAAGCAAAATATAGAAGATACAATTATGGAATACAGAACAGAACATGCATATTTTCAATGTATTAAATATAAAAGTAAAAATAGAGGTGAAAAATCGCTAGACAAAAATGCTGATTGAGGGAAGTGTATGGAGACAGATGAGGTACTTATTGGACCATGAGATACTGTCTAAAGATGATGATATAGAAATAGTGACTAAAATACATACTTTCGGTTATAAAGTTAACAAGCAGACTTTTTTAAAGTCATGATATACCTATCAAAAATTGGGAAGAATGAAAAGAAAATGTAAATTAATACTTTTGTTCTCCATAGATGGGAGTCAATAAATAATTCTAGCTCATAAGGCAATAGATGTATATTATTAAAAATTATGATGGCAACAATCTAAAAACAGAATTGGTTCAAATTAGTTCCTACACTGAAGTGTGATGTTGATGATAAGACTGATTTTTCTTCATAGACTACTTAATGTCAATGAATTTATAAGTATTTCTTACAATGATATACATACTAACTTTCTTTTCTTCTTTATTCTTAGGAAAAGTACATCTTTTTCGCATGAGAAGCTGCTAACTTGTCATAAATATAAATGTGGAGTAATTTTGTTTTAAAAATTTTACCTTTTGAAGTTTAGGTATTGGAGAAGAGATGGTTTCATTCAGATTTGTTTCTCTGTGCGATCATCAGCAATTGCATTTTTATGGTCTTTATCATCCTTCTCATCATTGTTTTCATTATAAAACCCTACCAAGCAGCTCAGGAGAACACAATAAACCTAGAAGACTTGTGGGCTTAACCCAATCTGAACATTTATGAGGTATGTGGCCCTGGGAAGGTAATTTCATATGTATCTAAAGTATTTATTTCCTTACTTATAAAGAGAATAATCACCCCAATTAGACATGTATATTGTGATGGTTAGATAATGCATGCAAACATGCTTTGGAAACTATAATATCCTATAAAAATTTAAAGGAACAATTGTGATCTGAATGCCCATCCTTCTCCAATATTTACTAAGGCCTAAAATATATATCACCTTCTTTGCAACATGCTTGGCATATTGAAGACATATAACCAGTAATTTTTCACGTTTTTTCCCCTTGCTTGAAAATAACATTTCTATTCATTAGAAATTGATATTAGAAAGTGAAAAGGAGAATGTATAATTTGGAACATACAAAGGTTAAACACATTTGTTTATATAGTTTGTCCAATTAAAACATGGCCTATTGAACTAAATAGCATGTGTTTGCAATATAAAATGATATATTTACATAATCACAAGGAATCTCCTCATAAAATTTTTATCGATT